TTGATAATATAATCTTCTATACTTTTAAAAATAAATCTTTACTATTAAAGCTTCAGTTTCAGAGTCAAATCTTAACTCCGGTCTATTTAGTTTCATTATGATTTTATGGGTTTATCTCTAACTTGGATTGATGTTGGATCTTTTTCCTATTCAACCGGATCGTCTTGTTCGTTCTGCATGTACTGATCTGAACAACTAAAAATATTAGGAGAAAAAGGAGAAATCGGAATCAATAGTTATTATATCTATGATTTGTACCTCGGATTTAAAAATCTGGCTAACATATTTCGATTTCTAGCTTTGAAATCACTATTCTTTTGAAGGATATGACTTTTGACCCATCGACTCTTGGTTTCCTCTTTGATAGGAATCTTAGGGAGCTTTGCAGAAAAAATATCAAGAGAATTTTTTTTTAACCCTACTTTCTTTTTTTGTTCTTTTAACGAAACAATTAAAAATTCATTTTTAGTTGACCGGGCCGTGTTTATTTAAAATATACAACAACCACATCTTTTACACACGAGGCTCATTGTGTAGAGTATATTTTTGTATTTTTCACTATCAATTAAAAAGCCAGTTTTGTTGAAAGTTTATAGGTTAGGTTTAATAATATAACAAAGTAATATAATTAAAATTACTAACAGAAATTAAATTACATAAAATTTACTAAGAATAAAATTTTATAATTTAAAACTCATTAAACAATTCTATGAGTATAAATACATATTTCCGTATCATGTCCAACAAATAAGAATATCTTAAAACATAACAAATGAACATAAATATAAATAGATTGGATTATCTTATATAAAATACATAATCTTATAATAAACAAAATTCACAGAATTTTTAAAAGAATCGAGTTCCGCGCTTTGAAAATCATATCAGTACTATTAAAACAGAGCATTGTTTCTTTACTCGCAAGTATTTTAGTTTAGACCATTACATTTATTTGATTTTATATTATTTTATATATAACAAACTTAATTATTATTACATAAGCACATAATCTTAACATATTACTTAAATATATTCAAAATAAGATATCGAAAATATATTCTTAACTACTTTTTCAGATTGCATTTTAACAATATATTTTAATATCCTTTTATTTAAAATATTAATATTTATTATTTTAATAATAAAAATCATAAATAATATTAAATTCACTTACAAAATAATATTAAATAAGAAAATATTTTTAATCTATACTTTTAATTAAATGCTGTATGTGTTTTTTAAAATCTGTACTATTAAAACTGAAAATATTTTTTTTTATATCTCCTTTATTTTTTTCTAAATATTATACTTGTGTAATTATTATATTTATGACTAACAAATTAATTTGTTTTCAAATCAGTTATGAGAAATTCGTGAAGCAATTCTGATTAAATTTCCTTTTAAATTTTCAAAATTAATTTAAAACATTTTGGTTTTGCATTTTATATGTTAACATTAATTTAGACAATATAACTTCACGTTTTATATGTTATCTATACAAACGATTTTATTGATGGGAAACTTAGAAACCATATTGTTTGCATATTATACTTTAGATTATTTATATTATATATACTATTAAGCACAGTGAGTAACAAACATTGATATATACACTTTTAACTATTAAATTCAAAAATTTAATATATACAAACATAATAGAATCAATACTATTAAAATAAAAATAATTTTTATCTACTTACAATTATTCTATCTTGAACCATTACATTTAACTATTTTCTTATTACTTTACTTATATCTAACTTAATTATTTAATATATATATATATATATATATAACTAATCTATAATTTCTTAAAATACGAAATTCAATCTATATTAACACCAATTTTAATTAAGTAATCAATTATTATTTTTATTAATATGAAAATTATATCTGCCTACTAATTTGTTAATATACAATTTTACTTTAATCCAAATGCAAGAAAAAAAAATCTTCAAAACCCTCTTCAAATACATACAAATATAACTTTTCTAGATAGAGTATTAAAATTAAACATATATATATATATATATATATATATATATATATATATATGAAAAATATGAATAATAGATTACTAATATTTAATGATATAATGAAGCATGCAATTATTGATATTCTATCAGTATAGTTTTATGGGTTATTCCAAAAAAACATGTAAAATATTTATAAATTAAAAAAATATTGAAGAAAACATAAAACACATTTTAAGTTAGGTTTGGGCTTTGAAATATTTTTTGAGATACGGGTTGGGTATTTGTAATTTCGATTCTGAATTATATCACATCTTAGGTCTCTTTCTGGTAAATTTGCATATAAGGATCGAGTTTGGATATAACACATCAATTTTGGTTCTTTGTATCACGTTCGAAAACCTCTAAAATAATCATATATCATTCGGATTCAGGTTATATTGGTTCGGTTCGGTTCGGATATATCTAAAATTTAAAAGAGAAACAAATACTTATTAATTAGATATTTAATATACTTATTTAAAATTTAATACTTATGATTAGATATTATAAAAAATAAATATAAAATTGAATAACTGAAATGAATATTTATGTTTCAAACTTTTATATATATGATTGGTTTGGACATTTATATCAGTAGTTTTAAATTTTTTGGTTTTTCATATTATCCGTTCGGATTCGGCTAATAACACTTATGTTTACGGATTTCATAGTCTGGCCTATTTAAATAAACAGAAACTACAATTATATTTAATAAAAAAATTATTCTGCGCTTTCTAAGCGTGGGTCAAAACCTAGTTTATACTATTAAAACTGGAAGTCGTTTTTTTTAAAGTGCCATTCTGTTTCAATCGTATTTACAGCTTCCTGCCACTGGAATATTTTAAGCCTATAATTTGGTTTTTCCTAAATGCTATAACTGTGCCAATAAAATCTAATTGAACTATATTTAAGAAATTAATTATCCATTTTATTGATTAAAAACGTGACTTTCCCTTCTATTCTTCCACCAAATTTAATCTGATCACCTGTTTAAAATAAGATAATACCCTATTAATATCTAGGGCTAATTTGTGTAATAGCCAATTTTGGTATCAATATTAAGAATATAGCTATTGATATGACATAATTAAGTGGATAACACTTTTTTCCCCGTCTAAGTAAAAAAATAAAACAATGATGGCGATGGCGATTTTGGATTAGGTTTCCGATGGTTTTCTGGCATTGGGATCCGGGGTCGACGAAGGAGTCCTTCTGGGGTTATGCTATCATTGCGACATATTGGAGTCAAAGGGAATTGTAAATATCAGAAATTTTTCGATATGATGGGGTCAAGATTTGGGAAGGAAAGGGATCGACTTTTGGTAACAAGAGATTCACGAGGGATCTCAAGAGATTCAACGGGAGGGTTCGACTTGATCTTATGGCAAATACTTTCGAGGATATGGGGGAAGCACTTTGGATGCAAGATTTGGCGGATCTGGATATCTTCAGGATTTTTTGGATCGGGTCATAATTATTATCGAATCATTCAGTTACTCAGGTATTGTATGTCTCACTATTGTAATGGGATTGTATGGGATTAAAACAAGGAAGGTCTGGATATTTTGGGTTTCTAAATGGGAACGTGCGGGGATTTCAATCTTTGGTGTGGCTTGTGATATGGAGATTTGGTGTATCAAAAATGAGAATATTGGTTTTAATGGCGAAGGATTAGGGGATGCAGAGAGGTTTAAAGGGTTTCAGTATAAATTCTATAGAAAGTTGTCAACTTCTTCTCATCGTTTTATATTGATTTTAGGCTTCGTCTCTCTTTTTCTAGCAATAAGGTTTTCCCTAACTCTGGTTACTATGATGCAAGGTCAGTTAATTGGATGTTCTGGTGGTGAGAAGAATGGCGAGGGAGCAAAGAAGAGGCTCATGATTACAGTCCCTCATTTTGACGATTCGGCTGTCATTAAGGCTTACTCGAGATCACTGATTGGTTGCTGTATGAATCCTGTGGAACAAGATATGGCGGCTCTTCTTATGAAGCTTCCGAAGATTTGGAACTTGGAGAATCGGGTGGTGGGATCAGACTTGGGTTCTGGTCTTTTCCAGTTTGACTTTCAAACAGAAGAGGACATTGAAATGGTCCTAAGTCTACAGCCATTTCATTTTGACTATTGGATGATTGCTTTGGCCCGGCGGCAACCAAAGAAGCCTCAGCATTTTTCATCGGAGATCTCGTTTTGGGTAAAGGTTGAGGGCGTTCCAATGGATTTCAGAACATTTCCTACTTATGAGAGTATTGGAAATGCGTTTGGCAGGAAGACACAGGTGGACTTGGATAACAAGCGTATACACGTGGTGGTGGATGGGTTTAAGGAGATCTGTTTTGACACAACTGTGGATTTTAAGGGTGGTCAATTCTATGATGGGGAAGAGGCACTAGTAACGCTGAGATATGAGAAACTGTTTGGCTATTATCTCAACTGCTTCAGCCTTTGTCACAAGGTTGAGGTCTGCCCTCTAGCCAAGAGAAGTCCGAAGCAAAGCCCGGTGAGAAGAGAAAAAAGAGATGGAGGTTCTGGACGATATGATGATGGGAAACACGATGACCGGGCTAGAAGTTACAAAGGTGTGGTTTTGAATGGAAATGGAAACGGGTAGAAGCACGAAAAGGTTAAGGAGAACAGGGAATGTTATGGTAAAGGGAACGGAAAGATGGTTGAAGACTCAGACACACGATGGAGGAAGGTAGCTGAGATGGGAAAGAGGAACCAGACTCATTATCGTAGTAGTCACAGAGGAGATGGGGATGGCTCGAGGTTGAGATACTCCAGGAGTGAGGAGACTAGGGTGGAGGATCAGGGAGGTCGATCTCAGAATGGGACAGTATTTTCACAAGTACCAGGAGGTACCAGTGATTTTAGCAAAGACATACAGGGAGAAGGTGCAAAGGAGGGAGAGATCAAAAGTAATGTGGATCACCAGCAACCATCTTTGGAGTTTCAGAAGGAGCTTCACAACACACAAGCTACGGGAATGGAGGTAATATCGGATCCTACAGATGAGGTAAATGGTTTACAACTAGTCTCGAATATGATGGAAAAGAAGAATATGTTGGGAGAGGAGGATGTGATGGACATGGAGGAGATTAGAGCATGTTTACTACAAAAGGGGATTGATATGGATTCATAGGAGTTTTTGAAGGAAAATCCAGATGAGGATTTTGAAGTGATGCTCAAAGAACAGGAGGAGGAAGCATTAGCGGATGCTGAGGATTATGGGGAAATTGAGGAACAAAAGAATGTAGAAGCGGCGGTGGATGGAGTAGGTGGAGAGCAGGAAAAGAACAAAGGGTACGTAGGAGGCTAGTAAAACCGTCGATCAAAACCGTTAGAAGCAACAAGATGAGAATGGCCACAGCACTACTTTCTCCACGAAAGCGAACCATGACTAAAGGTGGAGCAAGACATGGGGATAATATCAAGCCACTGGACGGCAGAGGAATCACCATACCGAAGTCCGGACACTCGAAACCTTAACTTATGTTTCACATCACTTTGGAAGGAAGACACTACAGGGTAGTATGAAAAATGGGTTTACGGTTATCTTTGTTGCAATAAGTCATAGCAGGTTTTGTTTTTTGTTTGAGTCTATGTTTGCTTTGAAAGTTTTTTTGGTATGAGGTTAATTTGGTTGTCCTTTCTTTTTATAAGTCTGTGATATGGAATAATAATGGCCTTTTATTTTGGTCTTACTGGTGTTTGTGGTTATCTGGGTTATCATCTCTGTCTCACTATTGTATTGATTTTGGTTTCGATATAACCATTATGTATTAGAACGAATGGATGTTATGGGGTGTTTTGGGAACTCTGGGTTCACGAGATCATGCTAGAAGTGGTTCCTTTCATATTTTGGATTGGATCATTGAAGCACAAGCTGTGGATATGGTCTCTTTAAACCTATTCCGGGAGGCTAAATGGAGAGATTATGGCTTCTCAAATGGGTTTGGGAGGATATTTTGTGAGGTGCTGTTGCAGGTGCGCTGCTTCGGATGGTTCAGTACTACGTCTTTGGTGTTTGGAAGTGTGCATAATTGGTGGAATGGGAGGCCAAAAAATTGGGTTTGGATGGGAGATAGGGGTGTTAAGATTTTGTTATGGGATGGTAATCATAAAAATTCACAACGACCCCACATAATTCTAACTAAAATCATGTTTGAATTTGATGCTCCCGGGAAACACAATAATGGTATCAATGAGATCAGGGGGGTAAATATTAGGAGGTTTGGACAGCAGTATAAAGTAATGTCGATCTCTATTTTGGAAGAATGTTTGGATAACAGAGTGGGTCTCATTATACCCAATTTTTCTGGCTCTCACGAGTTCCATCACAATTTTTTTTTAATGCGAATATTAAGTTGGAACTGTAGAGGAATGGGAAGTAAATGGACAATTAGTTATTTAAGAGAAATATGGCATAAGCATAAACCGGATTTTCTGTTTTTATCAGAGACCAAAAAGAGTATGAGTTTGTACAAGGATTTCAAGCTCATTTCGGATATGATAAAATGGTTACAGTGGACCCAGTAGGAAGGAGTGGTGGGTTAGCTCTTTTTTATAACAATGAGTATGAGGTTAATATTTTATACTCCAGTAATCGCATGATTGATGTAGAAGCAGTGGCAATAGGGAAACATGTGTTTCTCACTTTTGTTTATGGGGACTCAGTTTCGGAGTTACAGGAGCAAGTATGGGAAAGATTGACTAGATATGGTTTAACACGATCTGATCCTTGGTTTATCATTAAGGATCTAGATGAGATCACTGGCAATCATGAGAAGGAGGGGGGTGTTTTGAGAAGTTTATCCTCTTTTGTTCCTTTTAACAATATGATTCGCAATAGTGGTTTACTGGAATTTCCGGCACGTGGAAATAAAATGTCATGGCAAGGGCGTCGTGGGAAAGGGAAAGGAGCGGTGATGATACGGTGCCGGTTGGATTGAGCCTTAGCTAACGAAGAATGGAACACTGCCTTCCCATGTTCTTATACAGAGTATTTGGGGATGGTGGGGTTTGATCTTCGCCCAGTAGTGGCTTATATGGAGAATAAAGTTCAAAAAAGGAAGGGGCAATTTAGGTTTGATAAAAGATGGATTGGACAGGATGGGTTGATGGATTCAATAGTGGCTGGCTGGACGGAGGATCTTGGTAGTGATGCTGGTAGACTGGTTAATAAAATTACTAATTGTAGGCATGAAATTGCGCGGTGGAGGAAAAATAATCCCCCGTATGGGAAGGAGAAAATTCAAGATCTCCAACGGGCATTGGAAAAGGTACAAACAGATGATAGTAGGACCCATGAGGATATCTTGGAAGTGTCACGGAAGTTGCAGGATGCATACAAGGATGAAGAAGAATACTGGTATCAAAAAAGTAGGAATATGTGGTATTCATCGGGAGAACTGAATACACAATTCTATCATGCTTTAACGAAACAGAGGCGAGTGCGTAACAGAATAGTGGGATTACATGATGATGCCGACAATTGGATAACTGAGGATCTTGGGGTGGAAAGTGTGGCAGTAAATTATTTTGACTACCTTTTTACTTTAACTGCACCATCGGAATTTGATGAGTTTCTGGCGGACATCCCATTAAATATTACACCTCAAATGAATCATAGCTTACTACAACAGGCAATGGAGGATGAGGTCCGGCAAGCTCTTTTTATGATGCATCCAGAGAAAGCACCAGGACCTGATGGGATGACAGCATTTTTTTTCCAGCACTCTTGGCACGTAATTAAGATAGATTTGGTGAATATGGCTAATAATTTTTTGGTCTCAGGAGTTTTGGATGCTCAATTAAATAAAACTCATATTTGCATGATACCAAAGACGGAGAGGCCCATGCGAATGACGGAGTTTCGACCAATTAGTATGTGTAATGTGGGCTATAAGATTATCTCCAAGGTTTTATGTCAACGGCTCAAAACATGTTTACCACGGTTAATATCGGAAACATAATCAAATTTTGTACTAGGACGTTTAATTTCGGGTAATATCTTGATTGCTCAGGAAATGTTCCATGGATTGAGGACAAATAAATCATGCCAGTGGAAATTTATGGCAATAAAAACTGATATGAGTAAAGCGTATGATCGGGTGGAATGGGAGTTTATTCAAGCTTTACTAAATAAAATGGGGTTTGATCCACGCTGGACAAAACTTATGATGGCATGTATATCCTCTGTCCAGTATCGAGTTTTGATCAATGGTCAGCCTCGAGGACGCATTATCTCCGTATCTATTTATAATGTGTACAGAGGCTTTGATATCAAATATAAAAAAGGCGGAGCGACTTCAACAGTTATCTGGGATGAAGGTGGCAAGAGTGTGCCCGGCTATTTCCCATCTTCTTTTTGTGGATGATAGCTTATTTTTCTGTAAGGCGCAACCAGAGGAATGTCAAACCATTCTGAATATACTTAAGGAGTATGAGGTCGTATCAGGTCAATTAATTAATTTCCAGAAATCTTCAATCCAGTTCGGGCATAAGATCGGAGAGGCAAACAGACAGGACTTAAGAGATATTCTTGGTATCCAAAATCTCGGTGGTATGGGGTCATACCTAGGGCTCCCAGAGAGTTTGAGCGGTTCAAAGATTCAAGTGTTTTGTTTTGTGCAAACCAAATTAAATAAGAAGGTGACAGGCTGGACGTTCTTATTCTTCACAAAAGGGGGAAAAGAAGTGATTATTTAATCTGTGGTCACGGCTTTACCAAACCATGTGATGTCATGTTATAGGTTGCCTAAGGCTACTATAAAAAAGCTTACTGGTGAAAGTAGCACAATTTTGGTGGAGTCCTGGCGCGAGTACAAGAGGCATGCATTGGAAATCATGGGATAAGTTATGCCTGGATAAGGAGGACGGTGGCGTAGGTTTTAAGGACCTGGAAGATTTTAATTCGGCAATGTTGGGAAAACAATTATGGCGCCTGATTGAGAAACCAAACACCTTGTTTTCTCGTGTTCTTAAGGGTCGGTATTATAGGAATGCGTCACCTTTAGAACCGATTCGTTCATATTCCCCATCATATGGATGGCGAAGTATGAGTTCCGCTAGATCTCTGGTTAGTAAAGGACTAATTAAACGGGTGGGATCGGGATCATCTATCTCAGTATGGAATGATCCTTGGCTCCCAACCACTCGCCCAAGACCAGCAAATAAAAATCAACTATCTCTTTCTTTTTCTCCGGATATAACAATGGATTCTCGCATCAGTGCAGATATGCGAACTTGGAATATGCCACTTATTAGAGCTCTTGTGGATCAGCAGGATGTGAAAATATTTGAGTGTATACCTCTTAGCAGAACACAATTGGTGGATAAGGATGGCTGGCATTTTACTAAAAACGGAAAATATACGGTTCAGTCAGGTTATCAGATTGAAAGAGTCTACCCGGATAGAGGAAGACCAAATGAATTCTATGGACCCACAGTGGATGTATTGAAAGCGTTTTGTTGGAAAATTAGGTGTCCTCCTAAGCTGAAGAATTTTTTATGGCAATTATTGTTGGGCTGCATTGCAGTTCGGAAAAATCTCCAGGCCAGAGGAATTAAAGGAGATATAGGATGTGACAGATGTGGTGCTGAAGAAGAAACAATAAATCATGTGTTTTTGAATGTCCTCCAGCACGACAAGCTTGGGCTCTTTGGAAAATTCCTTTCAACTAGATAATTTTCCTAAGAACTCTTTGTTTGCAAATATGGATTTTTTTATTCTGGCGGGTTGTCAAAGATGGAAGATCATCAATTCGCATGGATTTTGTGGTACATTTGGAAAGCGCGAAATAGCAAAATTTTTAGTAATTTGGATATTGAGCCGAAGGATACACTTACGTTGGTAGAAACAGAATCGACTCTGTGGAAGGAGGCGCAAGTAAAGATGGAGCAGAGGTTTGTTCCACAACAGACAGATGCCACTTTACCAATCATTCCAGGAAGATGGTGTTTTGTAGACGGTTCATGGAAAGCCAAAGATCGATTTGATGGGCAAGGTTGGTATAGCACACTTGAGGGCTTTGTAGGTTTAATGGGCGCAAGAAATGTGAGGGCTAGTTTATCACCCCTCCATTCGGAGGTGGAGGCACTCATTTGGGCAATGGAGAGTATGCGAAATTTACGACAATATCATGTTACATTTGCAACGGATTGTTCTCAATTGGTGAAGATGGTTTCGGAACCAGAAGAATGGCCAGCTTTTGCAAGTTATCTCCAGGATATTAAGATAATGCAGGAAAGTTTCAACAGCTCGACGATAATCCATGTACACAGAGCAATAAACTCGCAAGCGGATAGCCTAGCACGAAGCGCCAGGATACAACCATTTTCCGTTGTTCACATGGATACATAGTTACCGGTTTGATTCACAGAGTCTACATGAGTCTGTATCTTTGATGTCAAAAAAAAAAAAAAAAAACTTTCTTCCCTTTTTTCCCGGTTGTAACCTTGTGTCGTGCAAGTACATGGTAAAAAAT